ATATTTTTGTTATGGTTGCTCATTACTTCATTACATATTTAAATAATACTATGTCCAACTTAAAATATGCTATACAAGATAAATCATTATGACCAACTTTCATGTTTTTACTATACAATCAACCTTTTAGGTCACTATTTTATGGTCAGAAAGCCTTTTCTCAACTGGGGGTATAGCTTCATGCTACAGCGATTTTGCCTAGGATATACAAAACCTGAAAATGATCACTACAAAAGGTGTTGGGGGTCTTGCAGTCACTTCCATTAAGATGAAAGCACTAAGGGGGCTGGGGATATAAGTCAGTTGGAAACACCCTGGGTTAAATCCTCAGCACTGAAAAAAAAAAAAAAAGATAAAAGCACTAAATAAATAGAAAGAATTTTTTTAATTATGTATATTGTCAATGATGAGGAGGAAAAACTCAGTATTATATTCTTTCAGTTTTGGAAATACAGGTACACACATTTTTATATATTCCTATATGGAATGGTATACAATAAAATTCAAAATCTGATTTTCTGTAATTGATAATAGTAAAGAAAGTATTATGGATTTTTCCCCCACTTTGCAGCTCTAAAACACCTTTATTCCTATGTACAGGCAGCACAATCCTCAGACATTCCTGGGTGTCCCAGACATGAATACTTCAGAGAAACAGCAAGTAACATTACCTTGGCCCTGCTTATTAACTGTTTCTTCATTCTTCACCTCAATTAATTAACATTGACCACTGGAAAATGATCTTTTACCTGCAGGAGAATTTGAGTTGACGCCTGAGGACCTCAGTTCATTTTTCAAACTCACTTCAGCATAATTTGTTCCCAAAGCCATCTTGAGAAGAAACCTTCTGCTTTTTTCAGAAATCCCATGCCATCTTTTCCTTAAAACATATTACAAATGAGATTCCAGCCTGAAAGCAAATTACTCTACCACTTAACTAGATGTAATAATTAGACACATACCTGAGAGTGAAATCACTGAGGTCTCATCCTCAGGACAACCTGAATGAGAATTACAGCCTCCAAACAGTAGATATAGATAAGTGTAACAAAAATGGGAACTCAAAAGAAATAGGAAGGAAAGGAAAAGAGGAATCAAGCAATTAGAGAAGTCTTTCCCAAGAACTTCATTCCGTAAACTAACCAGGAAAACTGAAATTTGTGGTTCCACATGCAAATGTAACTTATTACCCAAACAACCTGAGCAACACTTCCTTATATTGCCTTCATGTTATCAGGTTTGACTAATCAGGCAGATTTTTTGTGCCACATTCTAAGGTGATCATTACACGAATCTCAGATGACAGCCTCCCCGTGTTCAGAGCCACCTTCCTTTAGCATGGTGGGGAATGAAAAGTCTGAAGGTGTCCTCTGTGCTCTCTGCTTTCCCTGCTGCTCACAATCAGCACCATCATCAACCTTCATTCATTTTGCTATTGGTCACCTCCAGAACTCCTGAAAGCCATAATAAAAGAGGACGCCACCTTTTATTCTTCCCTTATCTCTCCTTTTACCCCCAAAACACCTTAACAACATTCTCTGAAGGTATATATGAATGTAATTAGCAGTTGGGAAAATTAAATGAAATCACGAGTAGAAGAGGAAGAACTTAAACTGAGTGCCAAATCTGATTTATTTTTTCAAAGGCCAAAATGAAAACAGTCCAAAAACTAAATCTTTCATGTGGGACCATTCCACAGAGCTGCTCTCAACCAACTCATGCCCAGGTTCTTTGCCTCAGTTCTCACCAAATGACTTCCCTTCTTTTAATAACCCTACCTAACTCTTTTTTTCTCTTATATCTGTCTTTTTTCTCTTATATCTCCTCTCATATCTTCCCCTCTCTCTCACCTCTATATTTGTTTCCACTGATTTCCACATTTATTTTATATCAAAATATACTGAAATCACTAAATTCACAGTAATACCCCTAATTCTAATTCAATGCCTCAGATTTCATTTTCATTTTTTTAATTTCCACATTTCTTCCACACTTCAGTGACATAAGGAAATCTGTGTTCGTTATCTGTAACTTTTTACTTATTTGTTAACTCATTTGATTATACTCTGGATGTTACAAATCTCTCATCTTGTGCCATCATTCCCTAAGACACTGTTCTTCCTAATACATTTCTTACTCCTTAATCTAATCTTCTGACCCTAGCCTAAAGCCCTCTTAGCTCTTATTGATGTTCTCACACAGGGCCAGCCAACTATACCCCACAAAATGAACATTCTGCTCACTTTGCTGAAGTTCTGATCCTGTGCTAAGACACCCCTCAAATTTACAACACGTATGAAAGAGAGTCAGTGTCCTACAAGATAGTATTCACCTGAACATTCTAGTCCAAGACCAATATGAACAATTCATATTGTTCTCTTAATTTGCCTGGTTTCTTGGGAATACAGAGGAGTATTTTAGGAACATGGTGTATTACTGCTCTACTTTTCTTTAAGGATGAATCAGATCAGATTCTTAAAGTTTATCTGTAGCCATCCTGGCCTGCCTGAGCTCTCACAGCCCACACAAGGTTACTCCCATGGATAGAAGTCCTCACCATGTAAGGATCAATTTCCCTTCTGGGGTTTGCCACCATGTGGAGAGCTCTCTTATCCAGCTCAGTTTATGAAACCCACACCATGTCTGTCTTCTGTGTAGATATTTTGTTCATCCTTTTGGGGCTTTGATGTCCCATACCAGGTCCTCAACTACCAGCAAGAATTCCTTCTTGAAACAAACAAGAATGCGTACAGAGGGGCTGGGGCTGGGGCTCAGCAGTAGAGTGCTTGTCTTGCATGTATGAGGCCCTGGGTTTGATCCTCAGCACCACATAAATAAAATAAAGGTATTTGTCCATCTACAACTAAAAAAAATATTTTTTAAAAAAAAAGGAATGTGTACAGAGATCCTACAGATTGGGAGAAAATCTTCACCACCAGTGCATCAGATAAGGCATTAAATTCAGGATATACAAGGATATACAAAGAACACAAAAAACTTAACTCACAGCTGGGCTCAGTGGCACACACCTGTAATCCTAGCAGCTCAGGAGGCTGAGGCAGGAGGATCACAAGTTCAAAGCCAGCCTCAGCAAAAAGGAAGGCACTAAGCAACTCAGTGAGACCCTATCTCTAAATAAAAAATACACAAAATAGGGATGAAGATGTGGCTCAGTGGCCAATCACCCCCAAATTCAATTCCCAGTACCAAAAAAAAAAAAACTTAATTCAGAAATATAAATAAACCAGTCAATAAGTGGGCAAAAAAAATTTCACAGAAGAAGAAATACAAATAGTGTGTGTGTGTGTGTGTGTGTGTGTGTGTGTGTAATATTCAATATCTCTACCAAGTAGGGAAATGCAAATTAAGAATACACCAAGATTCCTTCCTACTCCAGTCAGAATGGCATTTATAAAGGACACAAGTAACAATAAGTATTGGTGAGGATGTGAGGGGAAAGTTACTCTCGTACATTGCTAGTGGGACTGCAAATTGGTGCAATCACTCTGGAAAGCAGTATGGAGATTCCATAGAAAACTTGGAATGGAACCATTTGACCCAGTTATAGCACTCCTCAACATATACCCAAATGACAGCATACTACAGAGATGCAGCCACATCCATGTTTATAGCAGTTCAACTCACAATAGCCAAGCTATGGACAAACTTCAATGGATGAATGGGCAAATAAAATGTGGCATATACACACAAATCTGATTTATTTTTTCAAAAGCCAAAATGAAAACAGTAAAGAATATTTAAATAATGGCATTTTCCAGTAATTGGATAGAACTGGAGAATATCATGCTAACTGAAACAAGCCAATCCCCCCCCCAAAAAAAAAGGCCAAATGTTCTCTATGATGTGTGGATGCTAACCCAAAATAAGAGAGGTTGGAGAGGGGAATAATAGAAATAGATTGGACTAGCAAAGAGAGACAAAGGGAAGGGAGGAGAGAGGTGAATATGAAAGACAGTCAAATTAATTGGTCATAACCAGTATAACTCCACATTCTATATGACCACAAAAGTGGGAACCAAAATAGAATAAGTTATACTTTATGTATTTATGTTCTGCCAAAATACATTCTTCATTCTACTGTCATGTAGAACAAAATTAAAAAAAAAAATTAATGCCTTCTTTACCTTGTTTATTTGGTGAGTTCCAACACTGGACTCTCTACATACAGACATCCTCTTTACCCTGCCTGGTCTCTGAAATCCACACAGGTTTACCCTCTGCAAGGATGCCCTCCTCACCACAATTAGGCACTGAATCCCAACCAACATTGGAACTAACACTGTTCAGCGTTGTCTACTTGATTCTCCCAGATGCTGAGATTTCATGCCAAGCTGCACTTCTCCAAGGACTCACTCCTCACCCAAAAGGGGCTCTGACTTCTCACAGAAAGTGACTTCATGCATAAATACTTCCCTATCCTGCTTATGTTCCCCATACCTGACCACAAGACCACATAGATGGCTCTTCTCACAGGCTGACATCTCACACCAACCTTCCCCTATTGGGGACACCTCATCAATTCTCCTGTCCTTTGCTACTCTGCTCTGGACCACTGCCACTTGTGGACAGCCTCCTCACCATGTTCAGGCTCTGATTATCCATGCCAGAAGACACTCCCACCACCACCACAGTGAGGTTTTCTTCACTTTTCAGGGGCTCCAATACCACTGTCATGCCAAACCCCTTCACTGCCACTTTTCCCTGCTTGAGCTCTAAGGCCCTATGCTACATTGATTCCACCTGCTCACCCCATCTACAGCAAACACCTACTTTGCCCTTTGCCATCTAGTGCTTAATTTAGGAATGAAATTTTTAGTAGGAAAAGGGTGCTACAGTGCACAAAGAAGTCTTATGTTCTCTGCAATTAATTTTTGTACTTCACAAAATACATGCATTTAGACAGTTGTGCATACACAAACCCTCCTCCCAATAATAATAACTGATTCTAAAAGGCTTTCTCATCCAACTTATTTAAGAAAATATGTTTCTAAAGTTATGTCTCTCTCCCTAGAATAAGTCATATTGTAAATAGGTTACACTGTATCCGAAACAACCCCTAAAGCTGAGTGGTTTATAATATTTATTTCCCACACACATTACATGTGGGCTTAGGATGTAGATCCTAAACTGACTATAAGTTGACTTGGATCATTTCTGAATGTTTTCTCATTCTGGAACCCAGGTGGGAGGCATAATAAGGAGGATGTCCACACATGCAGTGTCCCACAGCACAGTACCAGGGTACAAGAGGATTGAGAAGGTATCCACAATCATTGAGGGGCTCCTTGTAAGTTGAACTGTGCAGCAGCTTCCTCAATTTGGATCAAGTGCATATTGTATTCATTCTGATCTATTGGCCTATGGATGTCACTTGGATAAACCTGTGAAAGGGCAGAAAAAAGACACTCCACACATAGGAAGACATGTAAATAGCATCAAAGTTTAATCCTTTCTCAGAGAAGGATATAAACACTTGGGAATGGAGATGCAATCTATCCCCAAACCCTCTAAATTATATAGTCAACAGATCTCTTAGTGAACTTTAAAATTGAGCACAGGTGCCCAGGTTGTTAAAAAAAAAAAAAAAGAGGAACCACTAGGGCAGAAAGATAAAATACTAGAACTTCTATTTATATTTCCTTGTGATTTTCAGAAAAATAGTCTTCACTAATATTTTATGGATTTAGTATCACGTGCCTGTCATGTATGTTATGTGACCTCTCGTGAGGGAGGCATGGAAGTTTCTAAAAAGTTTTGTTGTACCTTTCATATTGACTTTTTTGCTACAGGTTCCTTCATGAGCTTTTTGTAAATAAAAGTCATGTGCTGCAAATTTTGCTCACTTTTCAGTGTTGTAAATAGTTTCCCAATGGTATGCTAATTAGCACATATTTAATTAAGCACACAAGCACATGTACACACAAACCATGCTCTCTGGGCAAACAAAATGTTCTAACAACAATTGAGAAGGCAAATACATTATAAAAGACACATGTACTAAGGAGGGA